ATCCAATGCAGATGTGACTATGAATTTAAGGCCTCAATCACACTATGCTAAAGGTGAAATAGTAGGAGTAATAATTTAGAGTCAACCTTCCAAAAGTAAGCTGAAGATGGCAAACCTTTGACACCTTCCACAGTATTTTCAGGCTTTGTTAGCCAAGTACTCAACTTTATCATCATAGTACAAAGAAACCATAAACAATAGCTAAACAAATAGGTGTTAGGGTATACTTTTCTTCATATTTGATTTTAGGGCCATGGTTTGCTGAACCCTGATTTAACTCATAAACCCTAGGGATCTGCTTTGTTGAGGGCTACTCTCAAAGTCAGTGATTTACCTGGCAATAGCTTGCTGTTTCTTTCCTAACTCAGCTATGAAGATATTTTAGTATTTTAAGTTCTTTTCCATTGTAGCCTCATGTAAAAAGCTCCATTTCCAAAGATTGCTCAGTAATGATTCACTGAATATTCCTTGAATAAATAAGTATACAAATAAGGAAAAGAACATAGTTGGAAGAGAAAAGTAAATTATGCCTGCTTACCTATAGGATGTCAACTCTTTCTTATTAAGAGGTTTTCTACATTAAGCAGTCTTTCCTTACTAGGCAATGATAGCAAATGCCTTTAGTCCTAGCAAAGGCAGGAGATCTCTGAGTATGAGGCCAACCTGGTTTACAGAGCAAGTTCCAAGACAGCAAGAACGACACAGAGAAACCCTGTCTTGAAAACCAAAAGAACAAGAAGAAAAAAGTTCTTCCTTTTCCATTTTCCACTGCTTCTATTTCTTTAAATTAGACCTCCTTGTTAAACAAGAAATAACTGCGCCAGTTAAAAGAAACAACTAGTATGCATTAAGAGTAAGGCTGTGCAAAGCTATTTGTGGACAAAGGACTACTCAGTTACTACAAATGAAGTTCTAGACATCACTGTCCACCAGACAGCCCCACCTAAAGCTGAATTCCCACTATGAAGAGGCGGGACAGTCTCCATTTACTCTCATACCATCTTTGTTTCACTGACGTCAAGGGATCTGGAAACAGAAAAAAAAGGCAAACATACAAGAAAACTTTTCTTAACTGCTTTCTTTCTTGTCTTTTACAAACTAATTCAGTTTTACGTAGTCCAAATTAGATTTAGTTCTTTAGTAAAACAAAATGGAATGGGGGCCAGGTGTGGTGGCACATGCCTGTAATCTCAGTACTTACAACGTTGAGACAGAAGGATTCCTATGAGTTCAAGGCCCTGCTGAGCTATATAGTGAGGACCATGACAGCAGGGGGCTACATAGCAAAGACCCTGTCTCAAATACTAAAAACAAAACAAGATCCCCCCAAACTATGAAGCTGCTTGGAATTTATATAAAATAAAATTCAACTCGGTTTAGAGGTAATTATGGTTCTGTGTAAAAAGAGAAGAATTCATTAGGAAGAGCCTTTCTGAGTAAATACAGTGTTACTGCCATGTGAACGCCGCCACAGTTTATATCAGTATCAGAATTTAGAGAGAATACAAAGTCTATTTAGAGTAAAAATAGATACACATATGACCAACTCTCTGCTTTGGATGACAATACTAGATAGCTTCTCTGCTAAGTGCCCCTCAATGATAATAGCTCTGATATTGCAATTCCATGGCATTAAGTTATCTACTGATTTAGCTCTCACTGCTAATGCAGTTCCCCTCACAAGGTGACATGTGCAAGTCAAGATTTGGTAGTAAGTTTCAGCATCAGCTAAAGCCCATTTAGTACACCCTTAAAGAGCATACTCCTTGTGCATACCAATATTCATTAATATATAGAGCATTCTACTTATGACCCGACAGTGATGCTAGCAAAGAAGCAGGGCAATCTCACAGTGAATCTGGATAAAAATCCTGGATATTTGAATTAGGTACCACTTCTAAATAAAACAGATGATTGTTTTTGAAAACTTTGTTTCAAAGGTAGCCTGGCTACAAGTCTCATGAATTTCATGGCTCTGGCTAGGCCAATTAGAGGAGAGACTAGCAAAGAAGACTGTGCTGATGTGGTCTCAGGACCGGAAGCACTCTATTCACAGTATCAGTATGAGAACCTATTAGAAAAGAAAGAAAACAGAAGGGAACCTGCCAAACATGCCTGACATCTCAACAGTCTCTACCCATTCAAGATGTTAGTGGCTGAACTTGATGGAGTTTCTCTGTACAAAATTACTGCACCTAAACCTTTATAATTTGGTAATAGTTAAAAGCTCTATTTTCTCATATATAGCCTACAAAGTTAACAATGCAAAAAACAACTTTTCAGCATACAGCTTAACTTTTCAAAAGTAGGGTAGATGTAAAATATTTTTGGCTGTTTAAAAAAAGTCATCTAAAGCAGCATTTTCTGTACTTCCCAGGTACCTGCCTGTTCAGTAATGACAACTTCTGTCCACTGAAAGCCTTGAATATAAGCTAAAACGTTTCTCAAGAACTTCAACTCTATGTTTTTATGCCACAGAGCATAGCAATCCCTAAGGTAACTCTATGAGACAGTTTTAATCTATCATGCTGTTGCCCAACTAAGTAGCAAGAAGCCTGCCTATGATGATCAACAATAAGACACAACTCCTCCGTGCTGTTTTTAAGAGCAGGCTCTTCTATTGGAGCACCATAATATTCCTTTTAAGATGAATTTCTTTTCTTTTTCCACAAGAAAAAACCTTTCTCTAGTGATACAGTATATACATTTATCAGATTGCTTAAAGCTACCCTTTGCATTCCAGTTTATCACCAAAAATGCATTTTCTCCACTTTTCCATACCCAAGGTGCTCACAAGGAGCATAAACTTCACATTGTCATAAATGGCTCACTAGTGCAGGCAGGACCAACCCCTCTCCCAAATCTCTTAGAATCATCCATATCCCTGTACCAAAACAATTACTTAAACCATTACACCTTTAAATATTCTTTAAAAACCACTCAGGAGAAACTAGAGACTTCTACTTGCACTGTAGACTTCTGGCATCTTTTTGCCTGTACTGTCTAACATTCCTACTCCTTCTCTGCATGCAAGACAGGGCATATAAAACTCTATGTGTTTGGTAAATTCTTTCAGAGCTGGGTTAAGAATCTCAAAAAAACGCAAAATCACTAAAATAGTCCCTTGAAGTTTTAAAAATCTTAGGAATGATTATGTAACCACACCTGCTAAAAATTGATCCCTTGATCATTTATTGCAACATGATTGTGCAAGACATTGTCTTGTAAGTGAAGTGCCCTGTAGTGTATTATTAAAAAAAAAAAAACTCTTAAGAGTTACCAGCAATTTGCTAATTGGTTTATGAATTATATATAGACTTGCAAAACCAAGACATAGGTTTAAGTGAGGTTCTTCATTGGACTGAAAATATAAAGTACAAAACACGTAGAAGGGAATGAAACTGTGGTTGCAATAAGAACAACAGTGTTGACTCTCTCTTCAACTATAATATTGTGGAAAAAATGTTTAAAAATTTCATATAAAAGTTATCAAATGTGGAGACCTGTGGATTTAAAAATACAATCCAGGCTCATTTGACTGAAAAGTGACGTTTCTGATGTACAATATTGCTGTTATAGGAAATTAGGAGCTGAAGAGGATGGAATTTTGGTAGTCAGCCTAACAGGGTAACTCATAACTAGAAACATTTTTGAAATACCCAAGGAGGCATGCAAGTGTTATGGTTTACAAACACCAATCAGAAAGTGCAGTTCAGCTCTGCGATGTATAGTACTTGCAAACCTAAGTAAGAACACTTTCTTCCCTGCTCCTCCTCCTCAAGCTCCCAGATGTGTAAGTGCCCACTGAAAACGCTTGGCTTCTCACTTTACTTCTACCTACCTAACGTGCTTCAGGTGATGATGCTTGCTAGTAGGTAGCCAAAACAAGACAATGTATTAGATGCCTCCCCAGGGAAAAGACAGTCTAACCTTTTAGAATAACAAGAACCACCAGTATTCACTTTTTTTTTTTCTCAAAATACGGAAATGCATGCTCTGGCAGGGAAGAGGAAGGAAAGATTCCTCTTTCTCACCGGTGTGACTACCTTTCCCACTTCTGATAGGCTGCTTCCGTTGGCCAAAGCTCCTGTTATTGTTGGTTTTTTTTTTTTTTTTGATTGTTTTTTTAGATCTAGTATTTCACCCATCAAGATGATATGAACCTAAGTACAGTGTTCAATCATGACTGGTAGATAAATGACCATTCACTGATCAGTTTTGTTAAAAACATTTTTTTCTTATAAAGTTAACAAACCAAGGCTGTTGATCCCTGAATTAGAAGCTGATTTGCTTGATTATTTTCCAAAGTGTGAGTGAGGTGGGAAGGAGGAGAAGAGCCTTTCGTGCTTTCTGCATGTTGATCCTCTAATTTGGCAACACCATGGGAACATCTTCTAGTCAAGCGATGTGGCATTTTGTGAATCTAAGTACCAGTCCATGATTTTGATATAGGCTGCTTACCGCCCAGAGGGGAAGAGGGTCTGGTCTGCCCCTTCCCCCTCAATGTTTCAATCTGGCCCAGTAGTAGACACTGAGCCCTGGGCAGATTCCCCAGGAGCAACCATTTCTTCTTGAGAAGGTGACCCTTCCTCAGCTTGCCGGGATGTTACAGTCGTTTCAGGAGAAATGCTATGAGGCCCTTCCAGGGGTATACAGCCAGGGTGGTTTTTTCGAAAGTGTTGATTCAAGATGGCCTGGAAGGGGAAACTTTTGCCACAAACATGGCAGTGAAAGGGCTTGTTGCCTGTGTGCTTGCGGATGTGATATTCCAGCTGATCTTTCCGGGTATACTTTTTTCCACACATGCGGCAGACAAAGGGTGTTATTCCCATATGCAGGCGCATGTGGCGGTCCAGACTTCCCTTTTGGTTGAAAGATTTGGCACAGTAGATGCAAGTGAGGCGGGGATTATACCGGAACCACCGCTCAGATACCTCCTGTTCTCGGAGATACTCCACATAGCCGCTAACTCCCATCATTGCTGACTCTTCTACCTGTGACAGAAGAAAATAAGTGAATATTACATAACACTAAGCATATATGTTAAAAGCAACCCAATCTACCTATTCCTGTTACTAAGATATATACGTTTGTGTGTCTGTGTGGTGTAAGGACTAGAACGTAGGACCTTGTGCAAGCTAGGCAAATGTTTGTTACATTCCTAGCCCATACACACTTATTTGTAATGGAGAACCAAGAGGGAAACTCATTACTAAAAAAGTAAATATATTAACATAATAATTTAAGAAGAATTCTGAGAGTATTCTTTTATTACTGTAAAAAGAACAGAGGGGCTGGAGAGATGGCTCAGTAGTTGGGAGCACTGACTGCTCTTCCAGAGGACCAGGGTTCAATTTCCAGCACCTAATAACACCCAAATAGCAGCTAACAGCTGCTGTAACTCCAAGATCTGACACCCTCACACAGACATACACCAATGCAGGCAAAACACCAATGCAAATAAAGTGAAAATAAATAAATTTTAAGAAAAAAAAAACAATAAAAAACAAGCAACACAAAGTTCTGGCTGATGAATTGGATGCTTATTAAGCCTCTGCTACACTTGAGAGGTAGAAACATTAGAATTAGAAATTCAAGATTATTTTTGGCTACATAGGGAGTTGAAGATCAGCCTGAACTACATGAGACATGTCTCAAAAACTAAAACCAAAAGTCAAACTGAAAACTTCTTCTTTAATACTATTTTATAGTAATAGGAAAATATGAGCCCACAATACCATCCTTTGAGTCTATCCTTACAACTGTATTCTAGACAATCAACCACAGAGTATATAGAACTTTCTGTGATGGAAATGTTCTATAATTTGAACTACTCAATGAAGTAACCACATGGCTATTAGCATTTGTCATGTCTAATGCAACTGAGGAAAAATTTCAATTGCTTTTAACTAATTTAAACAAAAATTCAAATGTGCTTATGTCTACTATACATGAAAGAATGGAGTGTATAAAGGCAAATGCAATCAAATTTCCTTTATGACACTATCATTACTATGTTAACCAGCAGTTATCTACCTTTATAAAAAATATATGCAATAATGTAATACATCAACACATCATTATCATGCTATAAACTAAAAATCATTTTTTTTACATTTTTTATTTTGTGTATTGGTGTTTTGCCTGCATGTATGTCTATGCACCATGTGTGAATGATGCTCTTGGAGACCAGAAGTGGGTGTCAGGTCCCCTAGAACAGGAGTCACAGTTGTTGAGTACCTTGCGGATGCTAGAAATTGAATCTGGGTCCTCTGGAAGAGCAGTCAGTGCTCTTAACCACTGAGTTATCTCTCTGGCCTCCTATAAACTAAAAAGCTTTAAGTGATTTCAGGCTAAATTGGCTGAAGACATGGGGTTTTCCTAACTGAAAGCTGGAAGGATAAGAACATATTCTTTGTTTATTTGTTTTGTTTTTTGAGATAGGGTTTCTCTACCTAGCTGTGAAGCCTGACTGGGAACTTGTTCTGTAGACCAGGCTGGTATTGAACTCACAGAAATCCACTTTTTTCTGTCTCCCAAAGGCTGGGATTAAAGATGTGCACCACCATCGCCTGGCCAAGAATAAATTCTTTTAAACAAGTAACTTATGAAATTTTAGATTGGGGTCTGGAAATATGGCTTAGTTGTTAAGAGTGTACATAACTCGGGCTGGAGAGATGGCTCAGAGGTTAAGAGCATTGGCTGCTCTTCCAAAGGTCCTGAGTTCAATTCCCAGCTACCACATGGTGGCTCACAACCATCTGTACTGAGATCTGGCGCCCTCCTTTGGCGTGCGGTCATACATTGAGGCAGAATGTTGTATACATAATAAATAAAGAAATCTTTAAAAAAAAAAAAAAAGAGTGTACATAACTCCTGCAGAGGATCAGAGTTTGGTTCCTAGCACCCATGTCTGGTGGCTTACAACTGTCTGCAGCTCCAGATCCAGGGGCATCTGAAGCTTCTGGCTTCTGTAGGCATCTGCACATAGCCCCCAGCCACAGAAATAAGCATAATTAAAAAAAAAAAACAATAAAGCAGGGCATGGTGATGCATGTCTTTAATCCCAAAACTTGAAAGGCAGAGACTGGTAGCACTCTTTGAGTTTGAGGCCAACCAGGACTACATAGTCAACTCTGTCTAATAAATAAGTAAACAAACCAATAAAAATAAATCTTAAAATATGTTTTAGAGTGATAAAAACCTTTAGCTCAAAATTCTATGTTAAATATCACTATTCAGAAATTACTAATTTGGGGGCTGGAGAGATGGCTCAACGGTTAAGAGCATTGCCTGCTCTTCCAAAGGTCCTCAGTTCAATTCCCAGCAACCACATGGTGGCTCACAACCATCTGTAATGAGATCTGGTGCCCTCTTCTGGCCTATAGACAAAATACTGAGAATACTGTATACATAGTGAATGGATAAATCTTTAAAAAAAAATCATGCAGGAAATAATTACAATTTTGAACAGAAGCCAAGGTATTAATACAAAGAAAATACTGTATTAACTAGAGAAAGATTCAACTAGTTAACAATTCCATAAGCTTTAGTTCCTAAAAGCAATCTTTTGTCTCTTTCTCACATGCTAGCCTGACGGGGCTTTTCAGCATTTCCGAAGGAGGCAGCGCCTCAGCAGATCTAGGAATCAGTACATAAAATCAAGGTTGATGGTTTTTTTTCCAGACAGGGTCTCACTCTGTAGCCCAGGTTGGTCTTAAACTTTTGGCAATCTTCTTACCTCAACTTCCCCCACGAGGAGAACAGACTATGATCTATAGCATCTAGCTTTTGAGTTGTTTCACAAAGAATTTTTATTAATTTTCCTGGGTCATCAAAACAGAACTCAGAAAGAATAGGAAGAATCTTACTAATAATCCTAAGTGACCAAGGACAAAACACAGGAATTTCTCTGGGGTTCAGTTTTTCCATTCATAAAAAGGACATCACATATTGTTCCAACTTTATAGGATTGAGATTAAAAATTGCTAATAGTGCTTTCCAGCTTGGGCCCAGCAGAATGGCTCCCGCAAAGAAGGGTGGCGAGAAGAAGAAGGGCCGTTCTGCCATCAACGAGGTGACCCGAGAATACACGATCAACATTCACAAGCGCATCCATGGTGTGGGCTTTAAGAAGTGTGCTCCTAGGGTACTCAAAGAAATCCGGAAATTTGCCATGAAGGAGATGGGGACTCCAGATGTGCGGATTGATACCAAGTTCAATAAAGCCATCTGGGCCAAAGGAATAAGGAATGTTCCATATCATATCCGGGTACGTTTGTCCAGAAAACGTAAGGAGGATGAGGACTCACCAAACAAACTCTACACATTGGTAACTTACGTGCCTGTTATCACATTCAAAAATCTACAGACAGTCAATGTGGATGAGAACTAACCTACTCAATCTCAAATAAAGTTGGAGAACAGCCAAAAAAAACCAAACCAAAACAAACAAACAAAAAAAACAAAAAAATTGCTAATACTACCTTGAGATATATTTTTAAGAACCTTAAAAGGACTTAATGGCTCATACCTGCAATCTGCAATCCTAGCACTGAAGAAGACACAGGCAGATTACCAGAAATTCAAGGTCAGTCAGGACTACTTGTGAGACTTGATCTCAAAAAACAAAACCTTATTTTAGCAACAGAATCTCAATGTATTGACCGGGATAGCCTCAAACATTCCTAGCTCAAGGTATCTTCCCGCTTAGTCTCCTGTGTGGATGGTATTATATTATCAAACTCAGGTACTTTGGAAAAATCTGAAAGCATTACATCACATAACAGTTAAGAGTGCCCTGGGTTCAAATATGAGTTCCATTTATTATCCTTAGTTTTCTTAATCATTTCCTGCAGAGGCTGTGTTGAGCACTGAATGAACTAATACACTTGAGCACTTTAGTTCAATAACAGTGATAACTAACACAAAATCAAACAGGAAAGAAATAATTTAAATGAATTAGTAGAGAATCAGGAAAAGGTAAGAGGCTAGGGATTTTCTTTGGTGTAGAGTGCTTGCCTCCCACCCCAAAAAAGGAAAAATAATGCACAGTGTGTGAAATGCTATAATAGTTGTTTAAGAAAAAAAAGGATCAAAAAACATTTAGGAGAACTTGGGAGTGGGGCTTTCAGTGGATTCACAAGAACGAGGAATCTCAGACTAAAGACAGAGAGAATCTGATGTAGTTATAGTATGCACTGAGAAGTCTACAAGTCAAAATAGACAGCAAATGCTGCTTAGTGGGACAGCTGAGCTGGGAAGACTGTAACTTACATGGATAATTAGCCAAGTGGTAGTGGTAACTTTCCAGTGGTAGAAAAAAAAATGTTTTTAAGAAGTAACTTTGGTATCTGTTCCAGATTCACCCTTTACAGTCAGAGTCTAGTCTATCAGTGAGTTAGAAATCTTTTATTGCATTTATTTCTTTGTATGTCTGTTCATGAACTATGTGCACAGAAGTCAGAAGACAACTTGGGGGACTCTATTTTCTCCTTTTGTCATGTGGGTGCTGGGGAAGGAATTCAGGTCATCAGGATTGGCAGCAAGGGCTTATACCAGCTGACCCATCCTGCTGGTCCCAGTTTTTGGGGTTTTTTTTTTTTTTTTTTTTTTTTTTTTAAAGATCAAATGCAGAACCCAATACATGTTAGGTAAAACTTTTGTTTTCTTCTTTTTTTACATGTTGGGCATTGAGCCTAGGTTTCATGTCTTCAAGACAGGTGTTCCATTCTGCCAGCTTTTTTTTTCTTTTTTTCCTGAGACATGGTTTCTTTGTGTAGCCCTGGCTGTTTTGGAACTTACTCTGTAGACCAGGCTGGCCTCAAACTCAGAGAAATCAGCCTGCCTTTGTTCCTAAGTGCTGGGATTAAAGGTGTACACCACCACTGCCTGGTTGCTCCAGTATTTTCTTGTTTTGAATGATTGATAGATTGATTTTGAGACAGGGTTTCCCTGTAAGCTCTGGCTGTCCTGGAACTCACTCTGTAGACTAGGTTGTCCTGGAACTCAGAGAGATTCTGCCTGCCTCTACCTTCCAACTGCTGGGATTAAACATGTGTGCCACCATTGCCCAGTTGCTCCAGGATTTTCAATACATCAGTTTTCTTTCTTTGTTGTTGTTCATAATAATGTAAGTTGGCCAGTTGAGATATCTTAGCAGGTCAAGGGCCTTCCTGCCTGACAACCTAAGCTGATTCCCAGTGGCCCACATGATGGAAGAGAACCAACTCCTACAAGCTGTCCTGATATCCACCCATCGCCCCCCCCCCCCCAGCAAATATAAATCTTTGCTTCGCTTTGGTCTTCTGTGGCATAGGGAAATAACTGGTAAGTGGATTTACCATAATACATCTTCTTATATATTAAATTGTATAGATGTATTTTATCCTTTGAATCATTTCTAGATAGTACTTTTTTTTTTTTTAATTACATTTATTAGGGAGAGATGGCTTGGTGGTTAACAGTATTTGCTGTTCTTCCAGAAAACCTGTGTTCAGTTCTTAACACCTACAGTATCAGACAGACTCCTTGGGCACTGTCCCCCAGCCATACATTTTTTTTTTTAAATCCTAAGATTAAATCTACTTATAGTGAGAAGGGGGAGGGAGAGAGAGAATGTATGTGATGTGTATGGAGGTTTTTGTGCTTTCACCATGTGGCCTCACCTGAGGAGCCACTGCACTAGCATTATGTAGTACTATTTCATTCTGTTTCTTTATAGACTATCTCTTTTGTTCTAGTCAGGTAAACACCCTTATGTAATCCAATATTATTTCTATCCTAATTACAATTGAAAACTGGTGAAATTTTGCTTGTGTTTTAACAAATATAGCTTGTCTGAAGATCAGAGTGCGGAGCTAGCCACATTAGTTAGCCATAGAGGCCAGGCAATGATGGCACATACCTTTAATCCCAGTGCTTGGAGACAGAGATATACAGATCTCTGTGAGTTCAGGCCACCCTGGGCTACATAAGACCGAATCAGTCTAAAAGACAAACAGAGCCAAGCGGTGGTGGCTCACACCTTTAATCCTAGCACTAAGAAGGTAGAAACAGGAAGTGATATGGCTAGGCAGAGAGAGGAATATAAAGCAGGAGGAGACAGGAGCTCAGGATTCAGTCTGAGACAGGAAACCCATTTCGATCTGAGGATTTTGCAGAGTTAAGAACTAGTGGCTGTATCTTTCAGCTTCCATCCCCTAACATCTGACTCCAGGTTTTTATTATTAGGACCAATTAGATTCGTGCTACAAAAAATTACATTTAGGCCATGATGGAGTTGTATTTTTGTTAATTCCTGCATTTGGGAGGTTGAGGCAAAACTCAAAAACATTTAAATCCTGACAGAGTAGTGTATATAGCAGCCCCAGTTACTTGGAGAAACTAAGGCAGGCAGATTTTTAACCCAGAGTTTAAGAACAGCCTGGGTAACATAGTTTCCTATCTCAAAATAGGGAAGGATGGAGCTAGACATATGGCTCAGTAGTTAAAAGCATTTGTTGTTTTTCTAGAGGTCCTGAGTTCTATTCCCAGCATCCACAACCTCTTGAACTCCTGGAGGTGTCTTAGGGTTACTACTGCTGTGATGAAACACTATTGCCCAAGGCAGCATATACAATAAAGCATTTAATTGGGGGCTTGCTTACAATTTCAGAGGGGTAGTCCATGATTATAGTCGGGATTATAACAGGCATGGTGCTGTAGTAGGGGCTGAGAGTTCACATCTGATCCAACCCTTACATAGGAGGCAGAGAGCCAGATGGATGGCCAGGTGTGGACTTCTGAAACCTCAAAGCCCACCCTCAGTAACACCTCTCCTCCAAGGCAACACCTCCTAATCCACAACCGGGAACTAAGCAGTCAATTACATGCGCGTAGGGGGCCATTCTCATTCAAACCACTGCAGGCACCAGGGCCCTCTTCTGGCTTCTGTAAGCACTTGTATTCATGTGTACAAAACTACACATAGATACAGATAATTAAAATTAAATCTTTTTCTTAATGAAGAGGAAGAAAAGGGAAGATGGAAGCTGCATTTAAAATCTGCTTAGTTAGAAGAAAAAAATCCACAGCTGGGGAGATGGTTCAGTCAGCAAAGTACTTACATGTCATGCAAACTTTAGGACTAAATTCAATCCTCAGAACCTATGTAAAAAAGCTGGGTGTGGCGGCACGAGTTTTTAATTCCAGCCCCAGGAATGAAGAGACAAACAGGGATCCCTGGATAGCCAGCCTAGCAGAGCCTTTGAGTCTGAGGCCAGTTAGAGACCCTTTCAAGAAAAATGTAGGGATAAGCCCTCCCCTTGGGGGCGGGCTGCCCTCGGGCATATGTTTACTGATAAATTGGGCAGACGCTGCGCGCCCCTTCCTGCCTGCACCGGGTACTCCGCTGGAACCTTGGTTTCGTGAGTCTGGTTTTGTCATTAAACTTGTTCAAATACCTATTATCATTGGTCTTCATTAATCCAACCGCCACAGTAAAAGGTCTGAGGTTTACTTCTAACCTCCGCATATATATGTGTGCATCACCTCTGCACAACAAGTACCTTCACACACGAATACACATCTGTTCAAGTGTACCTGCATTATGTGGACACTAAGTCTTGTAAATGCCTGTAAGTACTTGTATTCTTTTAGGACATTTGTATGATTAGTCTATAAGGCTGATAATATCTGCCCTAATCACTGCAACTATCTGCATAACTAGTTACATTTGCATGCAATTATACAAGATTTGAGAGATGGGGAGAAAAAGCATTCTTATTACTTTTCCACTTAGCTCTTAACATTTTCTCTACCACTCAATCAAAACTAAAAAATAATGCAGTATGTTGGCATACATCTAAAATCCAAGTCCAGAGAGGCAAAGTCAGAAGGATCATGTTTGAGGTCAGCCTGGGTTATGGAAACCCTGCCTCAAAATATCACTAGCACCAATCACAACAACAACAACAACAACAAAAAACCCAAAACTAAAAAATTTAGTGTGTAACAATATCTTACTGCCAGTGCTATACCAATATACACAAAAAATATATTCAGTGGCTTAGATAACAAGAAATTGTAATGGAGGTTAAATAAGCTATCCTTTTTTTTTTTTTTAAAAGGTAGGGTCTTACCATCTAGTCCTGGTTGGTTTGGAATTTGCTATGTAGACCAGGTTGGCTTCTAAATGACAGAGATCCATCCATCTGCCTCTGCTCCCCAGTGCTGTCATGTCTGCAAGGTAGGCAACCCCCCCCCTTTTTTTTTTTTTAAAAAAGTTTTTCGAGACTGGGTTTCTCTGTGAAGCTTTGAAGCCTGTCCTGGAACTTGCTCTATAGACTAGGCTGCCCTCAAACTCATAGAGGTTGACCTTCCTCTGCCTCCTAAATGTTAGGCAATCTTCTTTTTCCCCCCAAGTCAGGGTTTCTTTGTGTAGCTTTAGAGCCTGTCCTGGAACTCACTTTGTAGCCCAGGCTGGCCTCGAACGCACAGAGATCTGTCTGAAGTTAGGCAATCTTAACTTACTTGTTTTCCTTTTTACGGACTAAAGTATCTAATTTATTGTGTTCTATGTTGTTATAGCTTTGAAAAAAATCAATTCTCAGTATTAAAGGTCTGTAGAAGACAAACAAAAACGTCAACCGATCACTTCAATAGCTAAGGAGAGTTGGGAAGAATACAGAAAACATCATTTTCATGAGTCTTTGTGTTTTTAAGGATGGGGTTTTACTCTATACCACTCACTGGCTTGGAACTTATTAAAAGCAGCTTAGGCTGGCCTCAAATTTGCAGCAATTCTGCCTCTATTTCCTAAGTGCTGGGATTAGAGTTGTGTACCACCACATCTAGCCTTTAGAACTCTGTAGTGTATGATAGAAGATTCAGGATGCAAATAAAAAAAAAGATACTTTCATACAAAAGAATACATAGAAATGCATAAGCAATTTACTTATATATACAAAATAAATATTATATAGACTAACAACTATATACCCATATATATTCCCTACATAGCCTAAACCAAATTATTTTTAATCTAAGTTCTAAATGACCCAAAGGTATAAGGTTAAGGAATTAATTTTACTCTCAGGTTTATATGTATATCTACAATCAAGAAAAAAATTCCACATTTAAAAAAAAAACTTATTTTTGTGTAGGAGTGCTTTGCCTACACACAGACACACAGACACACGGAACATAAATGTGCCTGGTGTCTGCAGAGGTCAGAGGAAGAAGGCACTGGAACTGGAGTTAGAGATGGTTGTGTACTGGGAACCAAACTAGGATTTTCAGCAAGAGCGGTAAGTACCTTTAACAGCTGAGCCATTCATAATTCCACCCCCACAGTTATTTTTTTTTCTTTCTACATCTCAAATCCTAATTCTAGCATGATCACAATTAAGATTAAGAAAAAACTAATATATATCAAATCCAGTATGTAACAGGGCCACTGTTGTTTGTCCTACACTTTTCTTATTCATTATGTTCTGTTTATTCAGTGACAAGTTCTTCCACCAACACAGCAACCCTAAGTCCAAAACTACATACCTGGGAGCTAAGTTGCTTAGGCTCATCCACTCTCCCAGGAGACTCACTTCTGGCTCTGTATCTTTCTGTCATGGAAACAACACTGCCGGAGGGACTAAATCTGTTGGAAAAGGAGCATAAAGGGGACCAATAGACAAGTAGTGCCAAAGAACGTGAATGCTGTTTCTCCTCTATCTTATAGCTGAGGAATGGGACTAAATCAAACAGAAATATTTTCAAAGTGACAAACAGACCATATGAGAGGGTGAAGATAAGACTAAATACAAGCTTTCTATTAAGCACTGTAATAGTAAACACTGTAAAGGGAATAAAAACATGTATGAAACCCAGTCCGTAGTTTTGTTTTGCTTCTATGAGCTATGGTTCTGTTATGAAGCCTTTGGGGGGTCTGGTACTCACTATACAGGCTCCAAAGTTGTCCTGAATTTATAGCAATCCTTCTGGTTCAACACCCAAAGTGCTAGGATTTCAGGCATGTTCCATTATGCCTGACACAATTTCAGTTCTTTTATGTTAACTATTGGGATTTTGGCTCTTTCTTCTCTTATGGTAATCTACTCATAGTTCATATAGACTAAAGCTTTTTTTTTTTTTTTCCCATTTAAGAAGGTACTACTTCTGATATAGTTCTAATATAGGACAACAGTTTCTAACACTGGGGATGAATATATATTCTATGTTCAAGAATATTTAGA